ATATTTTTTTTTTTCCATATATATTTATTTAAATATATATGTTTCATATATAATTTATATATATAAATTTATATAATTATGTATAAAAATGAACATATTTCATATATAATTTTACGATTATATGTATAATTATACAATTATTTATATATAATTATATATAAAAATTTTTACCGGGTCTCCGTACTGACATATAATCTCGAAAAGCTTTATAAAATCTTTAGTATTTTTTTATTACGTTTCGCGCAACATATATATCAGAAAACTTGTCAGGAATTGAACGAAATATGTACAGATCTCTCGGGTGGGCTATAAACTTTGGATACTATATTTTAAATATATCCCGAGAGTATGATAAATAGTCTACGCTCTTCAAACGTCTATAATACTGTTCCGCTTCTTCTCGACGTCCACGGAATCTAAATCGTTGCCGAGGCTGCCGACTCGACCTCTCAATCCTCCACCGCCGACTTGACCGGTCGCTTTGAGCTTCTCTTGTATCTGCGCCAGAATGTCTTGCATCCTTCGTATCTGCGAATCGCGAATCGTCAGTTGATACAGTGCGATTGATATTTAGGAAAATCATTTTTGTCAAAATTAAATTGGAACAGGGTTGGTTAATTTCCAAACGGAAAGGATCGCAACGTTCAAATTAAATAGGAATTTTAAAAATAAGTTGCACTGTGAAAAAAATTTATTAACTGGACTAAACCTTTAAACCATAATATTATTTTGTTAATTGAACATATAAAAATATTTAAATAAAATATAATATATTAAATCTATAACAAAACATATATTAGTATTTAAGTCAATTATGTATTTTGTGTTAGACTTAATATATTATATTTAATTTAAATATTTGTATATGTTCAATTAACAACATAATACATGTTTAGTTGAAAGATTTATAATCAAGTTAACACATTTTTTTTCAGTGTGGCTTTTATTAATCTTGCTTACTTGAAAATGTTCTTTTTTTATTATATATTATTATTAATATATATTAGGGTTGGGTAAGTTCATGATTTTTTTAAACTAAGTTTATTTAAAGTTAGTTGCTTATAAAATTAATTTAATTAAGTTGCCCGAAGAAAAATTAACTCATTGTCAGTTAGAGTAAAGTTAAAATTAAATTAACTGAAATTAAATCAAAAGTTAATTTTTAAAAACATTATTTATGTTAAATTAAATTTTGTTTGTTAATATTTTTAAAATTTATAATAACTAATAAAGAGAATTTTTGAATTTTTTTTGTAATTATAATTGATGACAAATAAATAAAAATTAATGATACTTTAATTTAAAAATACATTTATAACTTACAAAAAACAATAATGATATTCAGAAATTAAAAAATTAACTTGGGAAAAAAGTTAATAAGTTTAAGATCAGAAATAACTAGTTGAAGTTAAAAATTAATACATTTTAAATTAACTAAGCTAAGTTTAAAGTTATTAACTTTTTAACTTTTTTTAAAACCTTAAACTAATTATTACCCAATCCTGAATTGGAAATATATTATCTTTAATTGTACACAGAAAAAATTGCTTAACTTGACTAAACCTTTTAACAAAATATTATTTTGTTTATTGAAAACACATAGACATATTTAAAATAAATCTAACAAAACGTAAATTTTATTTAAATACTAATATATGTTCAATTAACAAAATAGTATTTTAGTTGAAAGGTTTAGTCAAATTAATAAATTTCTTTCTAGTGTATAAATGACAAATTTCGAAAATTATTTTCTAATTATACAGGATGTTAAAATCTTATATCGACAAGGAGAAAGAAGACTTCAAAATTAACATTTATTATTAATACTATTTTTCTCTATAATGTTTAATTTTAATAGGTACTACATATGAAATACGAGTTTGTGACTTTTTAGTTTATCATCTGTAATAAAGTTATTGGAGGAATTTTTGATCATTTACTGTAAAAAGAGAGAATTATTTTTATGCATTTGTTGAACATATATTAATATTTAAATCAAATACACGTTTTTTTATATTTAATGTTACATTTCATTTGAATATGTTTCATGAACGAAATGTTTAGTTGAACGGTTTAGTCAAGTCAACAATTTTTTCATTATAAATATAAAACTCAGTATAAATAAATATGTAGAGAAAAATAGTATTAACCAAAGATTTTGAAGTCTTTTTTTCAATTTATCGGTTTAATTTTTTTATATTTTGTATAATTAATTATATAAATAATTATATATTTAAATTAAATAAACTAATAATATCGTTCCTACTTCTGCGTCCTTCTGTAAAAGAATACTGTTCTCGAAATGCGGTCCGGAATCTCTCTTCAATTTACTATAAAGAGAAAAAACAACAAGCGTATTTATCCTCGATTCTCCGAAAGGGAGATTGTAAAGATTAGCAAATGCAATTAAAGAATAAGTGACAGGAAGATAATATATCATGCACTCTTTGACTATAGAAAATATCTATTTTACATTATTCAATTTTTCTTGAAAAGATTAATGCAAAACTAATTATCGATTTAATTACCATACGTCAGAATAATCGTACAGACTATGCGAACTCAACGCGGATGTTTGTGAATAAATCTCAATTCGAGATTTTAATTCTTATGTTTCTCTCTGATAACCCCCTACAAAGATGTAGAAAAGCAAAATATATCGGTCCAGAAGTTGCTTAATCGGAAACTTAGGAATTAAAATAGAGATTCTAAAATTGAGAACCAAGTTGAGATTTATTCCTAAATAGTCTTATTGTTAGCACTATGCCAAGCAAATTTCGTGCCTCGTGCACAATTATAAGACATAGGGGAAAAATTAATTTTTATTATCTAAAACACAAACCTTCGCGTTCGGCTCGCATACCCGTGTTTATTTCGAGACTAACTTTCTTATTCATTAAGTATATTTGTTCATTTATTTTTCAAAAGTTTATATTAATCACTAAAGAAAAACTAAATAGTAATATTTATATTTATCGGTTTTTCACTTACTTCTTTGGTAGCATTTGGAGAGGTGCAGAGATATTATGAAGTTGAAATAAATATCATTAATTTAAAAGAATTATTTATCTTATTAAATTTGTCGCAAATCTTGCGTTTCAGAATGACCTTAAATGTGTTTTATATCCAAGTGTGGAGTATATTTGCTGTTCTAAGTATGTGTGTTTCAATTATGTTTTTTTTTATATTTTCAGATACATAAAGTATTTTGGTGTAAGTCTTTTGTACAATTATCTGATTTTAATATATTTTCTGATATAGAATAAAAAGGCCCCACACTTGAAACATTATGTATAAATTTCTTTATGCTTTATTCTTATATGATATATCACAGATGTATCGATAGATAATAGGATGAAATTTTTATCACAGATATCGCATGCTCCACATTGTTTGTTATACCTTCTAAAATCCTTGCCACATCCATCGAAGAGATTCTCTGCATAAATGATACGATGAAAACATTCTTCGTTAATAGTTATGTTAAACTTTGTTATGATTTTTATTCCATTAAATTTATGTTCTTCCTTAGATTGTTGACGATTGTCGAACGAAATTAGTTAAAATATTTCACATCATGATAAATGCGCCACATAATAAAATCAAAGAATGAATTTATAAATTAAAAAAATGCAGCACAGACATTTAAATTAATGTTCAGATTTTTAATTTCAATTTAATTAAATTTATTTAAACTTAATCCAATTTATAAATACGAATCTTTGTACGAATTATTAGTATCGTTACGACATTATTTATACTATGAAATATATTTCAATCTTTCTTTCCCTCTCCCTTTCTGTTTATTTTTTATGTTTTTTAATAAATAATGTGTAAATTTTAAGAATTTTAACAATTTTATGTAATTTACTCGCGCGTATATACGGGGTGTAAACTATTATATAATGTGATGTAGAGGATTATATATTGTTTAAATCGCTCGATCACTGAAGAAACATATTTGTAAAATTAATAAATTTATTTTTGAAAAATAAAATACAAGATGAGTGTCCTAACAGAAGTTTCAAAGAAACGGAAATTAAAGTGTTACATTTTAATGACATTAAATGTGTTCTGTGCTCAAATGCGGAGTACATTTGCTGTATCATGACTGTTTCTCAATTATGTATTTTTTATTTTTCAGATAATATAAAAAATTTTGGTATAAGTCTTTGTACAATTACCACATTTAAATATATTTTAATATATAGTTAACGTTGTTCGTTATATTTCTTAAAATAATGCCTCATCTATTGAAGAGATTTTCTACATAAAAGGAAGATATAACTTGTTGGAATTAGTCAAATTTTAAAGTCTTGCTTGAATCTTGCACGAATTTTTAAAATCTGCAATTATCATACAATATGTCATACAAAATCTAATATCATTAATACGTTTTTATTGTCTCCTTCAACACAAAAGTATTATATATATTTCAAAATATAAAAATCATTGCCTTTTATTAACATACGTGTTTTTACTTATACATATGCAACACTATCGATTATACAAGTTTCAAAATAATAGATATTAATAAATGGTAAAGTTTAATTATGTCATATTTTGCATATACTTAAAGTATTAAGAAGAAGTTCATAAGTTAATTAATTTTTATAAATTTTTAAATATATAAATTCTACTGCACTAATTTAAATTCTTGCAATCACAATTTTTCTTATTTTATTGTTCATATTAATAAGTACAATAAATATAGCAGAGAATAATAAATATATTTCATTCGTCGTTGATTCTCAATTGACATTGCATACAAAAATAGGGCATAGTATTTATCTACAAAATTATTGAAAATATATATGTATATACATGTATATGTCAATGTAACATCTGTCTATTATGTTGGTCTATGTAACTACGACATACGTTTTACGTTTTTATTTAATTGTTCTACTATTTGATATGAAATATAAGACACAAACTGTAAAATTTGTACTTTAATTGATTTTGTTGTGAATAAATGTCTCAATAAACACTTAACCACGTTAAATTATAAAAAATTGTAAATTATACATATTGTTATATAAAAGAATCTCACAATGTTCAATATGTTTACAAATGTATATATTATATACTAATATGCGATTGTTAGTGCGCGTATGTACTTTACTCATATTGTACTCATATTTCTTAAAACATGATGACAAAAATAGACACAGATGCAGGCTCATATGCTACTCAAAACACGGACATATTATGATATCTTGAAACTGTTTGCAAAAAATGTCATTATGAGTAAACATGAATATGCTCAAATTAATATAATTACTCACATTTTGCATCATATGTATATAACTTGCGCTCATAATACCTATCATCATAATATGATTGCAATACATTTTAATCATATTGAAGGTTTTTGGATAATGCATTTAATTTTGATTAATTGCAAAGCATTTATTATATGTTGCGTTATAAATTGTCTAACTATATCTGTTATGGACTCCAACATCTGAAAAAATTAATTAAACATGAATATAAAAACGACATGTAAACAAAAATCTAATTATAAATTAAAAAATGAGAGATTGCACATTTCTCTACTTCCTATACATATTTAGTCTAATATATTGATTCTTAGTAAATTTACAAGTATATTAATAACTTAAAATTAATAGATGTAATAAATAAGTTTCAACCTTTTTAGTTTCTATTTTGATGACGTCATTATTTGTTTCACAAGACTTGTAATTTGGTAGAAAATCACGAAGACAATTCGGGAAATACCCGGGTTTTATGTAAAAACATCTTGCATTTTCTAAATTATTCGTGACGCTGTAAACAATTAAAATATTACCTTAATCATATGAAAATTTAAAAAAAATTATATATGTATGCGTATAATAAAAAAAGAAAGATTATCGTGAAATAATGATAATGTCGATTCTAACATATATTTAAACTTACAATTCTGGTTTCCAAAATATAAAGAATTCATTTTTAATATCTAGTACATCGCAACGTAGACCAAGTCTTCTTGCCACGCTATGAAATATTGTATATACAATGATATCTTTACCAGATTTACTTTGTAAAACCTGTGCCAGGTATAATACAGAATAAATTAATCAAAGCGAGACAATATTAAAAACAACATATAACGTATACATATATGGCCCATAAATATATATATTATAATCTCTAATAACTTACATAATCTATACAAATGCATTTGATATCTTTGGGTGGAAATGGGCAGGCACATGCTCGAAAGTTCAAGATGCTAAATATATATTCCTGGATTGTATCCATAATCTGCGTACTTTCTGTTTCATCCCAATGATTATCTTTGATATTGTTGGTGTTCCAATAAGAAAAAGTTTCATCAGACATGGAGAATATCGAATGGTTCAGATGCTTGTTTCTGAGACGATTCCGTACTTCTTGTGCGATTGTATCCAATGATGCACTTACATTTGTGTAACATACATCTTCTCGAACTTGAATATATTTTGACATGAAAGTACACGTTTCTTCCAAAAGTTGTTCTTTTTCTAGTTTTTTTCTATATCTGTCCAACTCATTTCGTATCGAGGATAGCTTTTCATAGTGAGACATTTCTATATTGCAATATCTTTCGATTGATTTGCGATCAATTCCTCTAAAAAATTTATATATATCGAATTATTAACTAATGAATAAATACATTAAATTGTAATAATAGTAGCATTATAATATATATGAAGATCCTACTTTTGAAATGGTGTTAACAAGCATTTAATCTCCTCAATATAAAACATATATTGCAGCTCATTTATAAGCTTATTTCTAGGCTCAAGTAAAAGTATATTTTTATGCTTTACATGTTCATTGATTTTACTCGATAATTTTATTACATTATCGAATTTAATTATATTATTGATTGAGCCATTGAAATAATTTTTGTTTGATTTATTATTGTAAAAATAATCGTAAAAAGAATTAGAGACAAATAATTTCGCAATTGTGTCGCAGAATTTATGCCTACTATAACAAAGTTTAGGTTTTCTTCTTTTTCTTTTTCCGTAAGACTTTCATATCTTCTCTTTGCATAGGGCCATCTAAAATACGACCATAAAATATTGTAATAAAGTTTTGATAATGATACTTAGTGTTGTGTCACGATTAATTTAAAATTAGCTGGATAAAGATGAGATAAAAGTATGTAAATTAATCTTAGATAGGATAAAAATGATTTTGTTTTAAGTGTATCTAGATAAAAGATATAATTATATGACAATTTATTTAAATAATTGTTTAGATAATAATATTTAAGACTGCTTATGTAAACACAGTTATACAAGAAATATAAATTATTAAAAAGAAACAACAATATATGTATACATATTTTTATTTATAAATTTTTATCGCTTTACTGTCTGATTTAAGTATTTTTATGTGTGCTATGATTTTAAACCAAAATTATCTGAATATTATTTTAGATAAATAATATAGTGAAAGTAGTATTTTTTTTTATTTATTTGTGAGATGCAGATGTAAAGATAATACATATTTTTATTATCTATATGTAGATAAGATGATGCTACAGTTCTTCTATTTAATTTTATTTAGATACCACACAGCAAACTTTGATGATAGTAAACAATGTGATTGCACAAGTCATTTTTCAAATTAATAAATTTTTTAAAGTGTACAATTCAAAGCATGAGTATATATATGACACTTCTTTTTATATTTTAATTAGAAAAAGAAAATATATAATAGTCAATTTTAATTTGTAATTTAATTTATACTTTTCAAATTTTGATTCCAATATGTATATTGCATAATTCTATAAGTGTATTGTATATCAATTAATAAACATTAATGTGCGTATGTATGTATAGATTAAGTTTTTTTTAATATTTTATAGAACAATTTTTTCGAAAGCATATTTACAAACAATGTCGACTGTACTTATATATGTCACTTGGCATGCTTTTTACTTTTATAAAGATTTTATTGTGATTTCAATGCTATTTATAAAAAAGAACCGATAGAAAAATATCAAATCTGTTTGTTTCTATCACGAATATATATCATATATATATATAATTTTTATATTTAAAAATGCAATTAAATATATTGAAGAATACACATTATAATAAATAAACAAAGTTATTTTTGTTGTATTTTTAATAATTAAATTTAAAAAAAATTATTTAATGACTGAATATTCTTCGGCCGATATATATATAGATAATTAATATTTATTTAATTAATCACACAACGTTTCATATAATTTTTGGCCTTTTCAAATGTTACTGTTAAGTGTGCGAAGGACCAAAATTATATGGTCGAAACACCGTGGTCAAAACATTGTGTGATTAATTAAATAAACATCAATTGACACAAATGTCGGTTGAAAAGTATTTGGTCTTTTAATTTATGACAGCCGAAAATTAAGAATTCTTATCAGTATATTATATTTAAAGTTTACATTCCATATATATATATGTACATGTATATTATATATGTATATATATAACGGTAGAGTTTGCCAAAATTATTGAGCAATAGAAAAAATGAAAGCGAATAATTTAATATGCAACATAAATGCAACATACCTAATTTTTCTAATATTTTGTATTTATTATATATTTATAATATACGTTCTTCGCAGAAGTGATATACATTGTGCGACAGGCGTTAATGAGACAAAATAACAAAAAGATTTACAAATCACAAGAATTACCTCTGAAATAACTTTTTTTCCAAGAACTTGTTATATGTGGCTGCTGCATAACGAAATTGCTGGCACACGCATCGAAAGTTGATGATATCCTCCATAGTGATAACATTACAGCCGAGAATGATGGTTATTATCTCCTCTGGTAAGCACGTTATCTTATAATCAGACATTATGAGAAACAAAACACAAAAAGGAATGTAAATTAAAGTGATTGCAATAAACTATTCGCGTAATTCCTTGCTTTTCGCAGTACAAGAAATGCGTCTGCCGATTACGAAGAGCACAGATGTGTGTTTGATGTACACGAGAGACGTTTTCCACACTGTAGACGTTCTGTTCTTTATTATAAAATTTGACCTCAAATTTTAAAGCCTTATTGTTTGTTTTCACTAAGATACAGGTATAAGGATTTGTTACGACATGCGCAGAAAATGTAATTTAGATCTAGCAAATTTACCAGTTTTTCTTATGCGCTTAAAAGATAGAACGTGGTAAATAATTTATTTATTATTTATTTTATTATCACTATTTATTTATTTATTTTTTTTTTATTATTTAAGCTTAATTAAAATAATTTTTTTTCAAATATGTCAATTATTTTAAATTTCCATGTATTTATATTATGTATTATTTAAGTTTAATTAAAATAATATTATTTCAAATTATTAATTATTTTATTAAATTTTACTCATTTTCATATATTTATTTTTACACTTTACAAATGCAGTGCTGTGCATTGTGTCGACTGTTTATTTTAATTTGGAGTTGTAATAATTTTGTGAAAATCATGGATACGAGATAAATATGGATCGCAAATAATATGAGTTTAAAACAAAAATGAAAAAATACTTTTACCTAACGCGTGGCGTTTATTTTTTGTTCAAAATACAAAATTTAACGTATTGTTGCACAGCAATCTTAGAATTGCATGAATTTACAATAAATCTGCAATTATACTAATATCATACAAAATCTAATATCATTTATAAGCTTTTCTCGTTTCCTTCAATACAAAAGAATTATGTATATTTAAAAATATAAAATCATTGCCTTTTATTAACATACGTGTTTTTACTTATACATATGCAACACTATCGATTATACAAGTTTCAAAATAATATATATTAATAAATGGTAAATTTTAATTATGTTATCTTTTGCATATACTTAAAGTATTTAAAAAGTTCATAAATTAATTAATTTATCTAAATTTTTAAATTTATATATTCTACTGCACTAATTCAAATTCTTACAATCACAATTTTTCTTATTTTATTGTTTATATTAATTAATACAATAAATATAGCAGAGAATAATAAATATATTTTATTCGTCGTTGATTCTCAATCGACATTGCATACAAAAATAGGGCATAGTATTTATCTACAAAAGTCGAACTTATACATGTATATATTTATATGTCAATATAACATCTGTTTATTATGTTGGTCCATGCAACTACGGCATATTTTCCGTTTTTATTTATTTGTTCTACTATTTAAAACTAAATATAAGACACAAACTGTAAAATTTGTACTTTAATTGATTTTTTGTGAATAAATGTCTCAATAAACACTTAACCACGTTAAATGATAAAAAATTGTATATTATACATATTGTTATCTAAAAGAATTATTATCCAAAAGAATCTCACAAAGTTCAATATTTTTACAATTGTATATATATTATATACTAATATGCGATTGTTAGTGCGCGTATGTTCTTTACTTATTACAATCAATTTGGTGTAATCGCAAAGTTTTATTGTGTTCCGTTATAAAATCTATAACAGTATTTTTGTTAACATCAACATCTAAAAAATTAATTAAACATGAATAAAGACGACATGTAAACAAAGATCTAATTATAAATTTAAAAATGAGAGATTCTACATTTCTTTCTTTCTATATACATATAGTGAATAAATGTCTCACTAAACACTTAAACACGTTAAATTATAAAAAATTGTAAATTATACATAATTGTTATCTAAAAGCATCACAAAGTTCAATATATTTTTACAATTGTATATATATTATATAATACAATTCATGATCCGTTTTCTGTTTAAATTATACATTTTACTTTGACTAATCCCAAATCTGTTATTTCATGATTCATTATAAACTTTTCAACGAAATTTTTTAATATCAACAACATCTAAAAAAGCAAATTAAACATGAACAAAGATTAAATGTAAACAAAGATCTTATTATATAAAAAAAAAATGAGAGACAGTACATTTCTCTTCATCGTATACATATTTATTGTAATTTATTGATTCTTTGTAAATTTACAAGTATATTATTAACTTAAAATTAATATAAATAATAAATAAATAATTTTCAACCTTTTAGTTGTTATTGCGAGGTCGCGAAAGCAATTTGTTTGCATCCTGTACACTGATATATGATAAAAAAGACAATTCGGGAAATTCTCGTTTTTTATGTGAAAGTATTGTGCATTTTTTAAACTACTTGTGACGCTGTAAACAGTTAAAATATTATTTTAATCCTTATAAAAATATTTATAATAAAAATTATATATGTATGCGTATAAGAAGAAAAGAAAGATTACCGAAAAATGATGATAATGTCGAATCTAATGTATCTATACTTACAATTTCGGTCTCCAAAATATACAATAGCGAGGCCAAATAAGTATTATATCGCAACGTAGACCAAGTCTTCTAGCCACGCTATGAAATATTGCAAATATAATGATAGCTTGACCATGTTTACTTTGTAAAATCTGTGCCAGGTGCAATACAGAATAAATTAATTTAAGCGAGAGTATATTAAGAACAATATATAACATATACATATATATAGCCCATAATTATATATGTATTATAATCTATAACTTACATAATTTATACACAAACATTTGATGTCTACATTACGTGAGTAGCTACATGGTCAAAAGTTATGGTACCAAATATATATTTCTTAAGTGTATCCATAATCTGCGTACTTTCTGTTTCGTTCCAATGATTATCTTCGATATTGTTGCTTTTCCAATAGGAAAAAGTTTCTTCTGACGTGGAGAATATCGAATGGTTCGGATGCTTCACTCTGAGACAAGTCAGTACCTCTTGTGCGATTGTATCCAATGATGCACTTACATTCGTGTAACATACATCTTCTCGATTTGAATTATTTTGCTACAAAAGTACAAATTTCTTCCAAAAGCTGTTCTCTTTCAGGTTTCTCTCTATATCTGTCCAACTCATTTCGTATCGAGGATAGCTTTTCATAGTGAGACATTTTATATTGCAAAATCTTCGATTGATTTCGATCAATTTCCCTAAAAAATTTATATAATGAATTATTAACTAATGAATAAATACATTAATTGTAATAATAGTAGCATTATAATATATATGAAGATCCTACTGGGAAATGCCGTGACCAAGCATTTAATCTCCTCAATATAAAACATATATTTCAGCTCATCTATAAGCTTATCTGTAGGCTCAAGAAAAAGTATATTTTTATGCAAACGCTTTACATATACATTGATGTTACCCGAGAATTTTATTACATTATCGAATTTTAATATATTATTGATTGAGCCATTGAAATAATTTTTGTTTGATCTATTATTGTAAAAATAATGGAAAAAGAATTTGAGACAAATAATTTTGCAATTGTATCGCAGAATTTATGCCTTTTGTGACTGTGGTGTATCGGGTGAGGCTCATTAACAATTGATGACAATTCCGCTTCGCAATCACCGTAAGATATTTTAATGCTGAGTAACAGTTATACAGATATAAGTATGTACCCGCGTGCGTCCGTGACGCTCGCCACGCTCGACTGACTTACTTCTATATCGAGTGCGGATCAGTCATTTCCCACTCGTGGCCGTCGCGCCGCTGCTCGCTCCCAGTACCGTATCCTAATACATTACAACTCGCCCCCTTTACTTGTTCTTTCCGAGCGCGTAGCTTCACTCGAGATTCGCTTGCTGTTACCGCTGTACCTTTATCGTTATCGGGCCACGTCGGTGTGT